AAAAGAAGAAAGGAAGGACAAGGCCATACAAGGCCACCCATTCACCACAGACCTGTAAAACCAAGGCGGAAAAGACGCAATCCTAGACTTGACAGTGCCAGAAGGCCTCTGGCGTCACTCTTTCAATATTCTTAGTTTGTACAATTCATTAAAAACTGCTTTAACGCCCACATCTGATCTCCAAGACAATAATCAGTACAAACAACTACTTCCCACATACATTAAAAATATATATATACATATTATAACAACACGCATCCAGTAAATGCTTTTCTCTTCCACAATGGTAGACCGTCTTAGTCTTAGACAATATTGACCGTATTGATTTTGTCAGCTGCCAATGTACGTGAAGACATACACTAAACACAGATTTCCACAAGAACATTACACACACAAAGACCAATACCAACGACACTTACTCTACATATTTACAGAGATGCTGCATATTTGACAGGCCTGAGGTTACTTAAAGACACAACATTCTTGGCATAGTCAACAATCGTAGTAAGTACAGATAAATAAATCCGTCTGATAAAATTATTATAGACTCTGAGATCAAGAGGCTGAATATCATAGTGCTATTAAAACCTTGATCAGGCACATAGGGTACAGGAATCAGGGAGTCAAACACTACACTACTTTCCTCCCACAAAATACACAGGACAAAATCAAAGCATCTAAATTAAATAGTCGGGTCCACGGATGTGATCATTCTGATGTCACCGACCTTTGCATTATTTTTTTAGAAGAAACCGTTCATTTCAGACCTCAAAATTTAAACAAAGATATAGCATTCAATATTCTTAAGAGCATGACAAAGCCGGCTTTTCTTGAGAAATTTAAAAAAATTGTGGGTTCGAATTGCTGTGTGTTGTAAATACTCCAGAATAGAGCCATTGGTTTTTTTTCAAAATGAGAGGCCCCACTGCTTAGGATAGGGTTACAGCTGCAAAGATAAAAGCAAACTGAAATCCCCAAAGTGTATCGGTCATTTAACTGACTCTCTGCACATTTCTACAACACAAGATGTTTTTTTTTCCCTTAAAGGAATTACATGTCCAGTTTCTATTTAGTATGTTGAGACTTTTAATGACAACAATTTACTGTATTCCTGAGTGATCCAGCCATTGGTACTTTCAAAACCTTACTGTGTAAATAAATCATTTTTGAGAGGAATGAAAGGATTGGGAAAGACTGTATGTGTGTGAGAGGGAGTGGGGGGGGGGGGGGGGGGGGGGGGGGCGCGCGCAGACAGAAGTAATGTAAATGCACTTGTGGGAACAAAAAAGTTATATCTCCAAAATATGTTGAAAACTTCTATTTCACAGTGAGTGACAGTGGACATGCTCTATCCAAGTTTTGACTATCCAGAATTTTAAAGATAATAGATTGAAAGTACATGCTTTTATTAAAGTATTGTTAATGTTCTTAGCCCCCCTCAACAGCATTCAGATCACTTTAAAGGTGGGCGGCCCATGACCCTATCCGCTAGGGTCCATCCAGGCTGACTGGGATACCATATCCAAACAAGACGACAGAGACATGTGATAAATCATCCCCCCCCCCCCCCCCACTAAGGAATCAAACCCCTTTCTTTTGTGGGTAAAATGAACAGCTTGACCATATTGTACCAGACACTGCTCAAGACTTCTTACAGCCCATCCAGATCCGGCAGAACTCACTAAAGAACCACGATGGAATGCAGGTTATCGCAGAGGATGAAACGGCTGAGAAGGAGAAAGCCTTACCTAAAACATTGCTAGCTTTGAAATCCACATCCTTCCGTTCCCCTCTTTAATCCTATCTTTTTCTTTACCACTGACGGCTGTCCATTTGTTCAACTCGTGCGTATTTTACTACCGCCTTGCGTTCACAATCTTTTGTGCTTATTAGAAATGAAAAACTCAGACTGCTGACGTCAGGTCTTATACTTCCCCCATAAGAAATGAAAAAAAAAGGCTGTAGCTTATGGTCGAGATAACATTCCCCTTAGCCAAGCCTCCGACTGAGGAAATTCAGAGACAAAACAATACTAATAATAGATAGCATTTGTATAGCGCAAATCCCTGCTCAACAGCAAACTCTATGCGCTGAACAATCTATACTATTACCCCAGCAGACCTGAGCAGAGAGCATTCTGAAACAACCTCGACTTCCTGGGAAGCATACAATGCAAGCGGCCATTAATAGGCGCTAAAACATTAACATACTGACAAGATCTTTCACTGTCTATGGCTCAGCCGGTACCCATTCCCACCTGGGTGAAGTGAGGAAAATTCGCGTAGAGTGCCTTTCCCAAGGACACGACGCCGTGCCCGCAGCCCGAACCCGCAACCTCACGATTACAAGTCCGGAAGCCTAACCATTAGGCAGCACGTCTGGCTGACTGGCCAGGTTGACCTTTGCAGCTTTTACACTTGAATAGAAATAGACGGCAAAATAACTTCCCTCACAAGAAGGTTGTTCATCAAAGGAAGGCAAAAAGATCTTACGCGTTATCCAGCAGAGTCTCGTCCCATATACCAAAACAATGTGCTTCATCAAGAATTTCAACGGCAAAAAGATATATACACACAAAGAGACAAATAGCCACAATACATTACGAATAACCCTGAGTTGTGTGTGAAACATAATATGTGTCACGACGTATTGGAATCAGGCGCTCGTCAATTTTTGGGCATGTGGAGTTATTGGTATCATCTTAAAACATGTTCAATTGTCTTGCTATCGATGAAAAAAATGTCCATCTATCTTGAATAGAAGTCACGATATTTGAGATTGAAGAAGGTGGGGGCCGCCTGGTTTCAAAGGTAGAATCAGCAGGAAATGGCTGTAAAAGTGTGGTTATTTCCATAACTTGATAGTCCGTGGAAACCAAAAGCTTACATTTTTTGTGTCTTTAATCAACTTTTTTCAGTAAAATCCACCCAGAAATGTGTTCTTTATTGGACAACAATGGTGTTAAGCCATGAAACAAAAATTCGATACAAATTACCAAACTGGCCGAAAAAAGCAAGTTTCTTCAATTTCATTATTTTGACGAGCGCCTGATTTTACCACGCTGCCTCACATATGAAGTAAGTAAATCTGCCATTCGAAACTCAAAAGCATCCCCTCAGGAACGAGAGAGTAACTCTTACTTTGGAGAAGAAAAAAAAGCAGCATACCCCAAAGATATGATACATTTATATAGACATTATGTCATGTACATTAAAAACAACCTTGCTTGTCACAGCAAGCACAGAAAAGGGAGAAAAAAAAAAAGAAGGTAGACAAAAATAGTACCTAAAAAAGACACCCTTGAGCACAACTATTATCATTAAAATTCAAATCAAATTTACAATAATGGTAGACAACAAAGAGCTTGTGAAGAAATCAAATACACAGGCATAAGACAGATGTTGTTATTGATCCAGGTAAACGACAGATGCATAATGAAACTCACTCTTTATCTTTACATCAACTCTTCTGATTTAGCGTTTACATTCTGAGAGCGACAACTTTTTTTTATAGTAGAGGATTTTACGGCGCTCGCAACTGCATAAGGTCATACGAGCGCCAAGGGGTGGGCTTCAACAGAGAAGTCTTTACAGGGAATCAGACTTAGACTGTTCACCTCTCTAGTTTCAACAGCACAAGGTCTGCTTCGACTATCAAGGCACCCCAAAATAGCAGGTCACAAGAGAGTGACAAACATACAAAAGAAGTAGAGGAAAATGACAATAGTAAGGATCAGGAAAGAAAAAACAGCAGTTCCCTGTAGTAGATCAGGCACAGTTATGAGCGTGACATGAGTCAGCCCATTTACAATTCTACTATGCTTGAACGAGAAATGTCCCCCCTTTGGGAAAGGCCTAAAGATACTTCAGTCAGTGGCACTGCCCCCGGGGGGCGATAACTTTTTTAAAAAGAACAAAAGAAAAGAAATGAAAGAATGCTTACAGATGATACAAACCCGGAATGAAGAAATATCGAAAGAAGAGTAAAAAAACTCGCGAGAAAACAGCGGGTTGAGGAAACAACAGCCTAGGCCAGCAGGGCGAAGGAACAGAAAGTACAAAGAATAGAGGAGATATTAATTGGCAGTGAGAGTAGGGATGTTTTAGCAACGTTTTACGGCGCTCACAACACAATAAGGTCATATGATAATAATAATAAATAGCATTTGTATAGCGCATATCCCCGCTCAACAGCAGGCTCTATGCGCTTTACACTATATTATTACCCCAGCAGACCATAGAACACTCCGAAACATTCTCAGCTTCCCGGGAAGCATACAGTGCAAGCAGCTGATTAAGCGCTCAAACACTAACAAACTGACAAGATCTTTCGCTGTCTATAGCCGGGTACCCATTCCCACCTGGGTGAAGTGAGGAAAATTCGTGTTAAGTGCCTTTCCCAAGGACACAACCTCGGGTCCCTGACGGGATTCGAACCCACGACCTTACGGTTGCGAGTCCAGGAGCCTAAACACTAGGCCACCGACGCCACTAAGTCAGCCCATTTACAATTCTACTGTGCTTGAACGAGAAATGTCCCCCCTTTGGCAATGACCTAAAGACACTACAGACAGAGGCACTGCCTCGAGCCCGGGGGGTGGGGGGGGGGGGGGGGAGACAGCAAATTTCACCAAGCACACTCACTAAAGCTCCCAGAAACAACCACACACATGAAACATGCAAAGATAAAGATCTTTTACTAAATCAGAGATTTACGACCCCTCTAAAAAAAAGTTAATAAAGTGAGGCATTTAATACCTCTGCCATTATTCAGTGTTCTATCTTTACCAAGCCACCATTAGAAATAATAACCAAATATAAAATAAAAATAATAAACCAACTGGGGAAAAAAAAAAAGATAAGCATCAACAAGAGAGATATTGTGCAAACGAGGATGGGAGTGACGAAGCAAAGAGGAGGTGGGGGGGGGGGGGGGGAGGGGGGGGGAGAAAGAGAGAGAGAGAGAGAGCTCTAGTCTAGGAACCGGCGTGGGACAACTACCTCTCGTTTGGGCCTTTTGGTCCCAGACTCTGGCTGGAGCGGGACGCTGCTCTTCCCGTTGCCGCCGCCGCCTGAAACTGTGACCGGCGCCAGGGGGCGCTTGCGAGCACCACGAGAGCCCTCATCTTGAGACGGGGAACTGGGGGCAGAAATCTGAGGACAGGCAAGATGCAAACTGACCAGTAGAAGTTTAGTTTTTAGTTTTGGTAAGAGTTTTACGGCACTTGCAACACAATAAGGTCGTATAAGTGCTTTAGTTTTTGTAAGAGTTTTACGGCACTTGCAACACAATAAGGTCATATAAGAGCTTTAGTTTTTGTACGAGTTTTACGGCACTTGCAACACAATAAGGTCATACAAATGCTGAAGATTAGACGTGTTACAAGAGAGTAACAAACACAAAAAAAGGAGGAGAGATAAGGACGATAGATGTTTGATAGGAAAGAAGAAGCAAACCATACCAGAGCCCACCACAATAGAAGTTTGTCCATTTGAAGACCATCGACACAATGTCAGTCATTTAATGCAGGAGGAAAAAAAACAGGCATAGCATCAACTCCTCTCTGCCTCATGTTCCTGGCAGTTGGAGCAAAGTTCTTCAGATACGCACATTGGGGATTGCCTAATTAGGGAGACAACTTCCGGGGCCTTCGGCATATTGTGGTAGGGTGGTCAGTTCCTTTCCACGCCGCCTTTACTTCCCCAACTCGAAGTCAGGTACCCATTACAGCTGGGTGGGCAGGAGGGGGCGAAAATAATCTGTGTTTGAACCGAGGCTCGAACCCGGACTTTCCGCTTCGGAGACGAGCGAACTGACCGCTCCGCCACCGCATCCTCGGCAGTGAGAGTAATGAAGTAAAAACCATGTGTAGCAACAACAGAAGGAAAGAAAAAAATAGAACAAAGTTGGATGTACTGGTGAATACGAGCGGTTGGATGTACTGGTGAATAGGAGCGGTTGGATGTACTGGTGAATACGAGCGTGTCACCAAGAAGCAGGCAGCACACACGTGCGGGTATGTCACGCATCAAGTCAGAATATGTTTAGTCACCTGCCAAATAGGCCTACAATGTAAATTTGAACTTTAATTATATAACTTAACCGTAAGTCCCGCATCTCAAATTTTAAAAAATTCACAGCCTTTGACAACACACAAGCTCAGACTTCACAGGGCTTCTTTTCTAAAGGTAGTCTCCACCTATTTGACCTCAAAAATGCGCATTACCAAAGATAGTACATAACAAGATGGGCCACTCAGCCAAAAAAGTGTCCGCAGGAAGTTCGCTCTTTGCTTCAGATGGCGCTGCAGTCTGTTTTGAAGCTCTCTTTCGTTTTTCCAAAAGAAGAATAGGAATAGCACCTCCTTGCGTGCGCAGATCGACTGCTGTTCATCAGCAGTTCGGGTTCGTTCAGTGCGGAGTTTTAGAGGGTTTTTTATTTTAATGACCTCTCGCCTTTCATTCTAAAGTCAAATTAAACGAAGAAAATCACCCTTTCTTCCGAAAGAGGTTTTTTGGCAGCGTAACCATTTTAAAAAAGCGTTCTTCCGAAATTCATTCAAAAACTTGCTAGTTTCACTTTGATTTTTTTAAACTCAAATAGGATAACTCTGTTCGCAAAAGGTGCGCTTTTGTGAAGAGGGCGCCACCGAATTTTGAGGACACTTTTTTAATTGGCTCAAAGAGAGAAGTGGCCCCTCTTGTTATGTAGACTCTTTGGCATTACACAGGATTCTGGAAACTTTCAGTTACTGTTGTAGAAGAAAACGGGTGAGGAACGCCCAGAGAGATACACAAGGACTGACCTGTTCTTTTTTTATATGTTTGCGTTGAGCATCCTTCGGCGCGGCCTGCCCGGCCGGACTTCTCTTCCTCTGACCATCCTCCTTCCCAGGAGCAAACCCGCCCGGTTCCAGCTTCACCTTCGCATTTGCCAGAGTGGAGATTTTCTTGGGGTCTGTCGGAGACTGCAGCTTGCCCTCCAGACCACCACCGTTGGGCTCCGTTTTGATGTAAGGCTGCCGCGAGCCCCCGCCTGCTTCTGGTTTTGACACAACCCGTTTGCCCTCCACTGGGCTGATCCGCAAAGGGACGTCATCGTCTTGACTTCCGTCGCTGTCTGCCGAGGACCTGTGGTCCTCACTCTTGAACTTTTTCACGGACCCAATGCCTGGACGAACTCTCGGCTTGAGAAAGAGAGATGAAAAAATGTAAAAATAACAAACATCATTGACAACTTTTACATATGTGAGGCATCACGGTGACATCAGGAGCTTGTCAAAATAATGAAAAAGAAGTTATCAGCATTTTTCTGCCAGTTTGACAATTTTTTTTCTAATTTTTGTTTTCTTGCTCAGCACCTTTTTGTGTCCTTTAAAAAACATTTTTGTGAGGATTTTACTGGAAAATGTAGATTAAAGGTGCAACAAATGTAAATTTAACGTTTCAAGGACTCTCAAGCTTTGGAAATCAACAAATTTTAACTGTCATTTTCTTGCTAGTTTTACCTCTGAAACCAGGCCACCCCCACCCACCTCCAGTCACAAATATCTCCACTTTCATTTATGCCAGAAGGGAATTTTCTTCATCGAAGATAGAGTCAAATAAGATTTAAGATGCTGCCAATAACTCCACATGCACAAAAATTGACGAGTGCCTGATTCCACTGTGTTGTGGCACACATGATTATGAAAACTAAAATCAATTGCCACTTGATTTCCGGGGGAGTGGGGATAAAAATTACAAAAGTAAATTACTTTGACTAGATAGACGAGTTTCACCCCACATACTGTCACCATTATCCATGAAATACCTGCCACTACATAGCAAAAACGTTCATAAATAAATCCTCTTTGTAGCCACTCCACACAAGTGGATATTCCAGCACAGATAATAATAATAAATAGCATTTGTATAGCATATATCCCCGCTCAACAGCAGGCTCTTTGCATTTTACACTATATTATTACCCCAGCAGACCATAGAACACTCCGACACATTCTCAGCTTCCCGGGTAGCATACAGTGCAAGCAGCTGATTAAGCGCTCAAACACTAACAAACTGACAAGATCTTTCGCTGTCTATAGCCGGGTACCCATTCCCACTTGGGTGAAGTGGGGAAAATGCGTTTAAAGTGCCTTTCCCAAGGACACAACATCGGGTCCCTGACAGGATTCAAACCCACGACCTTACGGTTGCGAGTCCGAGAGCCTAACCACTAGGCCACCGGCACCACAGTTTCTGTTCAGTGATTTGGAAAATATAAATACATGAAATGCTACAGTCAATACTAACCTCGACTCTACTGGCAGTAGACCTAGATCTAAAGGCAGCTGTCATTGCCACTGATCCTATCCTTGTTCCCCCCCCCCCCCCCCAACAAGAGTCAGAGATAGGCTTACCTTCAGCTGACCTTGCTTGCCCTCGTTACAACATTTAGAACACTCCCAGCTGTTGGGCAAGTCCTCGTTGACAGCACCGTCATTGTCCAGATTTTCGTACCTGAAGGAAAATGGAAAACCAAATTTAGTGAAGCTGAAGAGATGCTGAGAGGGATATAAAGTGCTCACAAAGGACGTAACTACAAGAAACATTTCTGTACACAAATTGTTGGGAAAAAAGAGAGAAAAAAAAATGATACACTAAAGAAAATTACTGAAATAACAGCTTCTAGTTATTTCTGCCCCAACCAATCTTTATTCAAGTACAATCAAAGGAAACAAGAATAAAACTACCTAATGCAGCACCCATTTCAAAATTATCTTACAGTAGTTCTCCCTCAATACCTGTGAGGCCCCCAAAAATGGTGTTCCCACATTCTGTTGGACCATTAACTTACACTGTGCCTTGACCATAAGAGCTCACAGAATTTACCACCCTTAACAAAACAAGAATGTTGCTTTTCAAAAGAACATTGTAGACTACACTGAAGTCAAAGTTTCAGTGTAAATCACTCCCCTAAAAAAAAATGCAAAAATGAAACACCCACAGACATAGGCCATCAACAACATTGGTCTGTTCTTTACATCCTTTTCTGTTCCCAAGATGTCCTCGCCTTTTCCCACCTTGTGCAGTTGCCAGCGCAGTAAAACCTCTACTAAAACTAAAAACTAAAAACTAAAAAGACTGTACTTTTTCTGCAGGCAGGCCGGGTGCACAATCTCCCAGCAGATGCCACACTCCATGAGCTGCATAGAGACGTCGTCCGGGTCCTGGGAGCTCTCCTGGCCCTCCTGGTTACATATGAGGCACACCGACGAGCTGGGCAGTACAGGCTGTGGAGGGGGAAAACAAGTTGTAGTTTTAGTAAGAGTTTTACGGCACTTGCAACACAATAAGGTCATACAAGTGCCGAAGATTAGAGGTGTTACAAGAGAGTAACAAACACAAAAAAGGAGGAGAGATAGTTGGTTTTTTTTAGTAAGTGCTTCACGGCACTCTACAACACAATAAGGTCATATAAGTGCTTAAGATGGGAGGTGTTACAAGAGAGTAACATACAAAAAAAAGGAGGAGGAGAGATGAAGACGATAGATATTTGATAGGAAAGTAGGAGCAAACCACGCCAGAGCACCCGCCAACCACCCACAAGGGAAAAACAAGTGGCCCAGTTGTATTTTGACGAAAGAGGACAGTTAGGGGAAGACACTAGTTTCAGTTTGAGTAAAAAGAAACACACTGACGCCATGACCATCATTATGAGCAGGGGAAAAGCAAGAGAGAGAAAAAAGAAGTTGCACCTAATGACGGTGCCCTCTTGTCACCCACAAGCAGACAAGGAAGACGGGAACACAGAAGAAGAAGAGTAGAAAAAGCAGATCCCAACAGAGCACCCGCCAGTCTCACATTGAGGAGGAAGTTGAGGGATAGGAAGAAAAAGATGGGAGAGAGAGTGAGAGCTCGTATACTACAAAAACAGAATGACTTCACAAACATCTCCAAGACCATTTTAAAATACTTTTTTCTTGTATGAGAGACAAATCAAATCTAGCGGTATAAGTTTTTTAGAGTTTACTTCACAAAATCCCTTTAGTATACATCTTTTCTTGAATGCACGAACAGTGACTATTTGAAATAGAATATGATTGATTTTTAATGTTTTGTTTTGGTAAGAGTCTTTATGGCGCTCGCAACTGCATAATATGATTGATTTTTAAGAGGTTGCAAATTTTGTGTTTTCTTGTTTTGGTTGAAATCTAAAAAACTTCATATTTTTCTAACATGTAGGTTGATTTTCTTCATAATGACCATTGTAAAATTTTAATGTTACCTATTCAAAATTTTGCTGTTCAAAGTAAGTCAGTTAATGCCCTTTCAATGGTACCACAAAAACGACCAGCAAAAAATGAACTCACTAACTTTATCAGAATTAGTTTTCAAATAAACTTGGAGAGTTTTATATTATATCTTCTCAGATCTTTCACAGTACACTTTACAATTTTCTATTATTTGAATTCTCTCTCTCTCTCTCTCTCTCTCTCTCTCTCTCTCTCTCTCTCTCTCTCTCTCTCTCACACACACACAGACAGACAGACAGACAGACACACACACACACACACATCCACACACACACACACACACATCCACACACACACACACACACACACACACACACACACACACACACACACACAAGGATTCCCAGGGCCTGGCAGCCACCCTGACTTTCCACTCCCAACACGGTTGATTTTTTTCACTCACCGCCATGCACTGCCTGCTGATACACGTCTGCTTCATGCGGCCCGGCCCACCAAACTTCTTCATGTCCTTGCAGAAAGTACACTCGCCGCACTCGGAGCGCGTGCAGGCCTCGCACTGTTTGCACCGAGTCCTGCGTCGTCGGATGCTGGAAGAGGAAGCCCCCGAGCCTTTGGGCGTGCGCACCGTCTTGAAGGTCTTGTAGCCCAGCTTCAGCTTCTGCTGTTTCTTCTGCTCAAAAGTCGAAAGAGACATCGTAAATGATAATCAGGAGTTGTTTTAAAGTTTAAGTTCAGAGAAGCACATCTGCACAATACTCCAGTCATATCATAGCTGGAGGTTGGGGGAGGGGGGGGGGGCCGCGGTGCTAGGCAGAAAGACAGACACAACAGAGACATCCAAGTCATAATAATAATAATAATAATAATAATAAAAATAATAATAATAATAATAATAATAATAATAATAATAATAAATAGCATTTGTATAGCGCATATCCCCGCTCAACAGCAGGCTCTTTGCGCTTTACACTATATTATTATTACCCCAGCAGACCATAGAACACTCCGAAACATTCTCAGCTTCCCGGGCAGCATACAGTGCAAGCAGCTGATTAAGCGCTCAAACACTATCAAACTGACAAGATCTTTCACTGTCTATAGCTGGGTACCCATTCCCACCTGGGTGAAGTGAGGAAAACTCGTGTAAAGTGCCTTTCCCAAGGACACGACGTCGGGTCCCTAACGGGATTCGAACCCACGACCTTACGGTTGCGAGTCTGAGAGCCTAACCACTAGGCCACCGACGCCATTTGCATAGAATCACAAGATTAAAACAAAGAAAAGGAAGAGAAAGAAAGGCTTAAAAGACATTAACCCCATCCCTTCTTTTCAGTTTTTGTAAGAGTTTTATGGCACTTGCAACACAATAAGGTCATATAAGTGCCAAAGATTAGAGGTGTTACGAGAGTAACAAAAACAAAAAAGGAGGAGGAGAGATCAGGATGATAGATGTTTGATGGGAAAGAATAAGCCAATCCCTTCAAAAACGTGCAAAGACAAATGATTTTTAAAAAACAACCCATCTACCCTACTGAAGAGCAAAAGACTGTATTTTGACATTAGAACAATGCATGCCCCTGCCTGTTTTCTGTATGTAATTGTGATCAAAGCCACCCACAGAAGAAACAGTATCTCAATATAGTGGTTGTGCCTTACTTTAAATTTTTTAAAAGGGAAGAGAGTTAAGTTTTAGTAGAGGTTTTACGGCGCTCGCAACTGCATAAGGTCATATGAGCACCAGAAGATTAGAGGTGTTACAAGAGAGTAACAAACATCAAAAAGAAGAAGGGGAGATAAGGATGACAGATGTTTGATAGGAAAGAAGAAGCAAACCACACCAGAGCACCCGCCAACCACCCATTAAGGGAAGAGAACAGGACACAATGCCATCTCAACTGTTCAGGTAAATAAAAAACAACTTCAGTAAACCATGAGAAAACCCACGGGCTTTGTAAAAAAACTTGGAACTAAAACACAAATCTCCTGGGTTTTTTTCTGAGTTTCTATTGTAATTTTGTGAAGCCCAAACCTATACTTGAACTATAGAACGCTGTTTATTCAACAAACAAAGAACTTGCTCACCTTAGCAGATTCTGGCCAACCTATGGACGGTTCTCCGGACCAGGCCAAGGTCTGATCATCGTTCTTGTGGTCCTCTAAGACTTGCTGAGGACAACGAAGACATAGTATAAATCTTCCCAAGTCCAACGTTTAATCCGATGAAAAAGGAGTGAATTACCATATACAATAGGAAACAAAAGGCCAATTTTTCAGTGTGCAAAGTTTTCAAAAGTACTGAAAAAGGTGTGGGCCAAAGATTATGAGGGAGGGGGAAAAGGTACCTCAAGAAAGGAACTGAAGAGGGTGGGCCAAAGATTATGAGGGAGGGGGAAAAGGTACCTCAAGAAAGGAACTGACGATTACAACTCAACTTGATTGTGGACTAAAAAAATACAAGTAAACTGTTCCATAAAACCGTCGTGACACAAACTATTTATCAATAAACAAAAGAGACAAAAGACGGAAAAAGTTTTCAAGTTCCAGAAGTCTATTAGTTTTAGTAAGAGTTTTACGGCACTTGCAACAGAATAAGGTCGTATAAGTGCCGAAGAATAGATTACATGTTACAAGAGAAAGACACACACAAAAAAGATGGAGGGGAGAAAAGGACGACAGATGTTTGATAGGAAAGAAGGAGCAAAAAAACACCAGAGCACCCGCCAACTACCCACTTCCGGAAGTCTGTAGGACAAGTGGACAGATATCCATGGGGTCAACACGCACTCATAAAACAGTCCAGACACAAACCATTTATCAAAAAACTAAAGAAACAAAAGTCTGAAAAAGCTTTCAAGTTTCATAAGTCTGCAGGACAAGCGGACAGACACCCATCTAGGTCAACACGCACGCACCCTAATCTCCCTCAGCACGGCCTCCGGGTCCAGCATCTCACGGGGTACGCCCCTCTTGCTGGGCGGCAGAGCCATCAGGCCGGCCAGGTAGTCCACCAGCTGCTTGAGGCCCTTCAGCTCCGTGGTGGTCAGGTGCACCCACTTGCGGTTCCCACCACCGCCGCCCGAGGACAGAGAGCCCCCACCCCCGTCCCAGCCCAGGCTAGAGTCGGAAGCTGCTTTCCGGCCCAACTTGGGTTTGCCGGATGGCCGCATGCCGCCCTCCTCCTCGCTCTGCATTCGGCTCTGAGCGGCGTCGATGCGGGTCAGCTCAATCGTTACGCTTTTGGAGAGTTTCGGTGGGTCCTCGCCACTTTCTGATTTGATCTGAGAACAAAATGAAACATGCACATGAGGCGGCATCGACGATTGTAACCTTAAACGGCAACTTCAAAAAAGGCGAAAGCAGTGAGCTTCCATGAAAAATAAAAGACAAGAGAAAGAAAGGAAAATAGCAGACAGAGATGGAGGCTTTAACACTTTGCAGTCACTAAGCCAGCAGTACAAAATACCCCATCTGGTGACCCAGCCAGCAGTACAAAATACCCCATCTGGTCACACAGCCAGCAGTACAAAATACCCCATCCGGTCACCCAGCCAGGAGAGCCACTGCAACAGACTTCTCTGGCCTGGCTCAGCACAGGTGACTAGAACGGATAATTTTCACCAGCGCCTTATTGCGCCAAGTGACTGCAAAGTGCTCATGGCCCACAGGCACAATGTTTGCTTCTCATTAAAAACATGTCCCAGGTTGGAACCCTGACAGCAAGGAAAATTTCTCCTCTAAAACCTCTTTTCACCTCCTTTCCTGTTCTCTGGTTGTGTTTCGTCATCTGCTTTCAGCTCCACTTCCTCCACCCCCGTCTCCTCCAGGCTCCTCTCTCCTTTACTCATCTCAACTCTTTTCTCCTGCTTGTCCTGGCTCCTCCTTTCTGCTGTCTTTCAGCAAAATCCCCGATCCTAGGGTAGGTAAGATCGAACACCTTACCTTCTCGGATAAGGGCAGAAAATCTCGAAGATCATGTGTGCAAGTTGTTTACTCTGATTTAGATTTAGTATGTGTTTTACGGCACTTGCAACACAATAAGGCCATATAAGTGCCGAAGATTAGAGGTGTTACAAGAGAATAACCACCCACGTTGTCTACTCAAAAGATCATTTGGTGGTCGAAAAATCGATAAGAGTAGGCTTCTGCCACCACCTGGCAATATTAAAAAATTAATCCCAACCAAAACTGAAAATACTCTAGTTGATATCTTTTTAAAAACATATACAGAGTTCCTTTTGTTTTATGCTTTAGTAAGTGTTTTACGGCACTTTCAACACAATAAGGTCATACAAGTGCCGAAGATTAGAGATGTTACAATAAAGTAACAAACACAAAATAGAAGGAGGGGAGACAAAGACAATTGATGTTTGATAGGAAAGAAGAAGCAAACCACACCAGAGCACCCGCCAACCACCCACTTCCATGGTCAGTCAGCTGCACACCAACAGGCCCGGGATAATTCCTCAGTGTTCACATAGATCTATTTCACTACACGTTTGTGTTGTAACAAGGTGGACTCAGGCGCACGTACATTTTTGGGCATATGGAGTTAATTGTACCATCTTAACACTATCCACCCACGCAGTGCGCCAAAGCGCACAACACTTACTTATCCCCACATACCAGGATGCAGATGCGGTACATGCTACATCACACCGTCGCCGATCGGCATCTCGTCGGAAAAAGGTACGGCTTCTTACCGTCGCTGATCAGCGTCTTGTCGGAAAAAGGTACCGCTTCTTACCGCCGCCGATCGGCGTCCCGTGGGGGCAAAGTATTAAAGCACTAGCCTTGCTTTATATGAAAAATAATCCACATTTATCTTCAATAAAAGTCGACATATTTGTGATCGGAGGAGGTTGGGATCATTTGGGGTCAACGGTAAAATTAGAGAGAAAATGGCCACCAAATTTAAGAGACATTCAAGCTAAATGTCCTTGGAACTGCAAATTTACTTTTTTCCAGCCTTTAATTCACGTTTTTCCGTAAAATCACAGAGAAATCTCTTTTTGAATGAACATAAAAGTTGTTGCCTCTCCCAGAGACTCTGATCAAAATTGCCTAGTTTTCTGGCAAATGTTGGTTTCTTCAATATCATTAACCCTATCCGTACGTCGAGTTTTACTACCGTATCCATACGACGTGGAGAACTCTGTGCCACCACTTTCCAAAGAGGTTATTTACTCGTTAATCCGATCCGTACGCCTTGCATAGCAGTCTGTCAAAATGATTTTTTGAGAAATACTAAAAGTTTCAAAGAGATCTTCGTACTAGAAGTATTCTAAAATGTGAAGAATACATCCCCAGGGGTACAAAATGACCCAAGGGCGTACGGATAGGGTTAATTTGGTCACTAGCCCACGACCTACTTTGCCAGAGTCACAGCTGTCATCCATGGTGCGAGAAGGCGGCCGCGAGTCTGGGTTACGGGACGGTGGTCTAGAATCTTCATCCACCTGGATGAGTCCGTGGTCGTCCTCATCCAGTTCGTCTTTCTCACAAGACGCCAGATGTGTCCGGCCGGTGAGGCAGTGGATGTAGCGATCGGCAACATACCACATAATCTCCGAAAAGAAAGGATATCGGAATTTTGGAGGCACCTGTAGAGAGAAAGAGAGAGAGAAAGAAAAGTTGAAGTCTAGGTATTGGTGTATTTTTTTTTAGTAGAGGTTTTACGTCGCTCCCAACTGCATAAGGTCATATGAGCGCCAAAAATTTGCAGTATGCCAGACAGGCAAGTACAGGTCATTAAGAAATGGGAGGGGAAATAAAGTATTTTTTAAGTTTTACGGCACTTTCAACACAATAAAGTCATATAAGTGCCAAAAATTAGGCGTTACAAGAGAGTAACAAACACAAAAAAAGAAAGAGGAGAGATAAAGACGATAGTTGTTTGATAGAAAAGAAGGAAGAAGGAGCCAACCAAAACCAGAGCACCCGCCAACCACCCACACACAACAAAAAAAGTTCATAGCATCAAAAAGTATTCAATAAGAAAGCCACCACCATATTCTCCTCACATAGGTCTTATCTTCAATTCTGGACACCAAGAGCTGGTTCTCTATGTTGAAACTGTGAAGGAAATTGCCGCCAAACACCAAAGAGTCAATAGGTGTGTACACAGCATGAATCCAACCTGGAAAGAAACAACGATTGATTGATTGGGTAGATGTTTTACGGCGCTATCGACACAATTTTGGAAAGAAAGAAAGAAAGAAGTGGCTGTCGAATCATACCTTATTTCATTTGTAGCGCGAGTCTTATGGCAGTTGCAACACAAATACATGATCATATGAGTGCTAAAGATTAGAGGTGTTACAAGAAAGTTTTAGTTTTAGTAAGTGTTTTACAGCACTTGCAACACAATAAGGTTATATAAAAGCTAAAGATTAGAGGTGCAACAAGAAAGTAACAAACACAAAAAAGGAGGAGAGATCAGGACGATAGACTTTTGATGGGAAAGAAGGAGCAAACCACACCAGAGCACCCCCCAACCACTCGCACAACAGTAATGGAAACTGAGGTAGAACAATACGCTAGAAGAGCGCCACAATGACTAGAATTTAAATGTCTTTTTTCTCGGGCGGGTCAATCCACATGTACAGATAAAGCTTTTTAGTTTAGTTTTAGTAAGTGTTTTACAGCACTCGCCACAATAAGGTCATATAAGTGCAGAAGATTAGAGACGTTACAAGAGAGTAACAAACACAAAAAAGAAGGAGGAGAGATTTATAAGGACAAAAGATGTTTGATAGGGAAGAAGAAGAAGCAAACCACACCAGAGCACCCGCCAACCACTCACACAGATAAGGTTAACAGTATAAAGAAAGTGAAGTGGAGGGGGGGGGGAGGGGGGGGGGGAAGAAGTTCTAACCTGAAGGTATAATAAAGGTGTACCCAGCCCTGAGCTGGATCCTCTGACACTGCTCCAGCGAGTCCCCCAGAAAAGAGTCGCCCTGTTTGGCAGACAACGTCCACTCTATGTAGCAGTCGATGTTCTTGGGGGACGGTGGAGCTAGCCAGAAGATCTGAGGAAAAAATACAGGATTAGGAGCTAGGAGATACTTCTTATTCTCACCATTCAGAATAATCATAGACAAGAGAGAACATCGATGTCAATCCCTGACTACTTGCAGATGAGGTGGAAGCGCAAGATGTTAAGTTTTAGTAAGAGTTTTACGGCACTTGCAACACAATAAGGTCATATAAGTGCTGAAGATTAGAAGTGTTACAAGAGAGTAACAAACACGAAAAAGGAGGGGAGAAAGAGACAATAGATTTTTTATAGGAACGAAGGAGCAAACCACACCAGAGCACCCGCCAACCACCCACAGAATAATCATAGACAAAAGAAAATATCACTGTCAGTCTTAAACGACTTGCACATGAGGTGGGAGAACAAAATGTAAAAGATATTTCAATAAATTTAAAGTTTTACGACTCACCTTTTCCCCATGAAGTATATGGTACCAGACCGAAGTGCCTCCAAAGTCTATGTGGAAGTCCGTGTAGCACCCAGCCACACTCATGAGACAATATCTGTAAAAAATAAAAAAAAGTAGCACAAATTTGATCAGAACAATCATAGAAAATCAATGTCTAAAACAAAATGGACCCCTCCCCCTCCCCCCCCCCCCAAAAAAAACAACCTAAAACCCTGCAAACATAATGATAATACTGGAACACAATAGTAAGGCTACTACAGCTATTTAAAATAATGACAATGACTTTAAAACTTTAAAAATATTTATTGAGAACCCTGTACAGAAATTATGAAAATACATTCTTACAGCATACCAGAGAAAAAAAAAGTTACTCTTCACTCACTATCTACAAAGACATAAATGTTCATACTGGAAAAACGGTTCGTGACTTTTAAAATTTCAAATCTCTTACTTTTGTACTTTCGGGTACTTCATCTTTTCGATGACATTCGTGGACTCAGTCTGACATTCCTTGAGGTGCCGAGGCCAGGCACGGTCCACCCAGTCAATTTGGCGAACCTAGTGAGAGGATAGTTTAGTTTTAGTAGACGTTTTACAGCGCTCGCAACTGCATAAGGTCATATGAGCGCCAGAAGATTAGAGGTGTTACAAGAGAGTAACAAACATAAAAAGAAGAAGGGGAGATAAGGACGATAGATGTTTGATAGGAAAGAAGAAGCAAACCACACCAGAGCACCCGCCAACCACCTACGGTGAGAAGATATAAATAACAACATCATTGACTATGGAAACACTGGACGCATTCCAGACAGGAAGAGGATCGTTAAGTAAGTCATGAAACATGCCACAGCAATGTAAACAACTTGAAAGTACTAAGACTAAATGTGCCCTCCAATTCTACGAATTGGCTGTCTCACCCGATGTGTGTGGAAAGATAACACGCCTAAGCTTGGACTGCCCGTCAAACTACACGGCATTAAAAAGAGAAATGAAGAGATGGTTTTATCCACTGAAAAGACTTGAGTAAAACAAGCTATAACGATATAAACAAGTATAAAGCACTGAGACTGAACAAACAACATTAGTTCCGAGTCAGTGCGTCAGCCTTGACACTATGTGTGTAGAAAAACAACACACATCACTTTGTTTTAGGTTATAGAGTCCGTGCTTCTCATCCAATGGTCTATTTATAGATGTGACCTCATAGCTAAAACGAAAAGCTTTCAAGGGATGCCACTCTTATTCAAAACTTAGTAGAAGCTGGAAAATCTCGAAGCAAAACACACATTTCAGCCCCATCGTACGTTATACATTTACACAGCACTAGACGCTGCATTATCAAGATGCATGAGAGACGATAACAGTTCAGTCTAAGGACTAATGTTTCAACAGTCTCTGTGGCTAGGGGACAATCTATTCCCAGAACAATCTGCACCATTGCACCAAAATGATGACGTCCTGGAACACACCTAATCACAGTGTCAAAACATTATCTTCATTGATACAAATACCTTGATACACAAGTAAAATATTCACATTTCATCATTGGGAATATAAAGAAACATTTTTTTTTTTTTAAATCTGACATGGCATAGTTCACTTACAAGAAGCTGGAAAAAGTATAAAAAACACAAGAGCAGGCAGGTATGAAAATGTTCTGAAATTTGTAACATTTCTTTCAGCTGCATTTCGTATAAGAGTGTCTATATAACAAAAATATTTAAAGTATCTAAAAAGATACAAACCAGAGTGGGAGATTCGACATAGTTTTCGAGCCTGGTGTGGCAAAACTCTAAGCTGATGACGTTGAGCAGTCTGTCTCGCTCCGGGTTCTCATAGTACTTCACCCAGTCTTTCATAGACATCTCCATGGCTTTCTGGGTGTTCACATCCATCACATCGAGTATACGTCGACTCCCTGAAACACATTTTTTATTGTTTTAGTTTTAGTAAGAGTTTAACGGCGCTTGCAACACAATAAGGTCATATAAGTGCCGAAGATTAGGGGTGTTACAAGAGAGTAACAGACACAATAAGGTCATATAAGTGCCGAAGATTAGATGTGTTACAAGAGAGTAACAAACACAATAAGGTCATATAAGTGCCGAAGATTAGGGGTGTTACAAGAGAGTAACAGACACAAAAGAGGAGGGAAGATAAGAACGACAAACGTTTGATAGGAAAAAAGGAGCAAACCACCCGCTTGTATTGTTTGAGTGCAAAAAAAATGTTGAAAGCAGCCATTTAGACCTCACAACAGAGCAAAAGAAAGAAAAATGTATCTAACAGAAAGATAGAAACGTTCAAGGTTACAGTGGTGTCTTCAAAACATCCAACCATGCAATGAAATGTAAAACAAAAGATAAAAGGAATAAAATAAACTATCACATTAAAAAACAGAAGGCTAAAAAAAACCAAAACCATGTATTTCACTGGTTGAAATCTCTTCACCGGTTGAATTTTTATGTATTTTCAAAGTTCCTTAGCATTTGTCGAAGTTTCAACTCCATTACTGCACCCTTCATTTCATCATACGTACTTTAAAAATTCACACACGCACTCTTTTTTGGGTCAATTTCCACCGCTCAAAAACTAATAGAAAGAAGAACAACTCCACTTTCGCTTTTTCGTTTCAGTATCAGTAAATTCTAATTGGACATTTTTCCTCGACCTTGCAGAGATGCATACCACGGCAGTGTCACGTGTTAGGCGATTGAAACACCACCTCAAGTGTGAATTGATAGACTTTGCGCAACTCCTGTCTAGGTGCTTTACATTTCAGAAAGAGACAAATATATTGGCACCACGAGACAAATTTGAAGTCTGGAAAAAATAAAACACGAAGCTAAATAACAAAAGTATGACCTTGAAGACCTATCATTCAATTTCTGCTGGACAGTTCTGTTAAAGAAAATCCCCACAGTGCTGAAAGACACATCATTTAACACTAACAAGTCACAGAGTTTTGTATCAAAATAATTGTGACGCAGTGTGGTGGAATCAGGCTCTCGTCAATTTTTGGGCATGTAGAGTTATTGGTATCATCTTAAAGCTTGTTCACTTGTCTTTATTTGGATGAAAAAAATATCCCTCTATCTTGAATATAAGTCGAGATATTTGCGAATGAAGGAGGTGGGGGTCACCTGTTTTCAGAGGTAAAATTAGTGAGAAAATGGCCGCCAAAGATTAGTTATTTCCTTAGCTTAAGAGTCTGTGGTAACTAAAATTTTACATTTTTTGTGCCTTTAATCAACGTTTTTCAGAAAAATTCACACAGAAATTAGTTCTTTAATGGGCATGAAAGGTGTTGAGTCAAAAAACAAAAATTCGATAAAATTCACAGACCTGCGGAAAAATGCAAGTTTCTTCATTTTGATTATTTTGACGAGAGCCTGATTCCACCACGCTGCCTCATGATTTAAATTCATACAGCTAAAACTTGCAAAAGGTGACCTACACAATTAAATACCAAAATGAAAGTTCCCACACGTCTTACTTACCTACACATTGCTTCACGTCACTGACTTTGAAGTTTTCACTTGGAACCCTGGAAAAACAAGAATTGGTTAATTGTCCGTACAATATGGATTTAATTTTTCACTGAAAAAAAGTTGACATTCCTGCAGAGATTTAAAAAAATATGCACTTAATAACATCTGGCCACAAACCTTACTTCATTCAAGCAAAATCCCCCCCCCCCTTTCCCCACCTAAAAAAGCAAACAAACAAACAAACAAACAAACACCCAAAAAAATGTTCTTGTCTCATCTCATAGGACTCTATTTAATAAAGTTCTGAGTTCAAACAAGCTTATATATTAATACACTATGAATGAAATTTCAAGTTCCCTGATACTAACACATCTCAAGTGAATGTGAAACACCATAAGGCCAGTTGTGCATTCACACACACGTCACACACATACATACGCACAACACACACGTCACACACATACACACAACACACTCATCACACACACACACCTACACACATGCACACACACACGTCACACACACACACCTACACACATGCACACACACATGTCACACACACACACGTACACACATGCACACACACACGTCACACACACACACGTACACACATGCACACACACACGTCACACACACACACGTACACACATGCACACACACACGTCACACACACACACGTACACACACGTACACACACGTACACACACACATATATATACACAGAGGGAAAAACTGCTTACCGTAGTCCTAAGCCAGTTTTGTCATAGAACACTATAGGACGAGCCAACCCATTTTTCTGCATCCACTCCATGGTAAATTCTGCGGGAACAACATTTCAAAATCCTTTCCTTCTAGAAATTTTTACGGAGGAAGAGAGAGAGGGGGGATGAGAATGGAAAGAATAGGGAGGGAGGGAGGGAGGGAAGGGAGAGGGAGAGAGAGAGAGAGGGGAGAGAGAGAGAGAGAGAGAGAGAGAGAGAGAGAGAGAGAGAGAGAGAGAGACAGACAGACAGACAGACAGACAGAGACAGACAGACAGAGACAGACAGACAGAGACAGACAGATAGACAGGCAGACAGACAGAGACACATTTACAGCTTAATAGACCTTTAAGAAAATACATTTTAATTCAATATTTAAGGAGATTTTTTTAATGCAATAACTTCTGATCAATGGAATTTTGCAAACAAAAATGTTTTGAATTCTTTTATATTCAAACAAATAAAAAAGAAATTAAATTCCTTTATTAAAAAGGTGCATCAAGGACAGATGACGAAGACAACAATCATAATTTCTTCTAAATGAAATTTTTGTGGTAAAAAAACCCCCACAACATTGGGACTTAGATTTCAAGTCACAGATTACCTCTTGTGACCAGAAGTGCCAGCAACATCACATGGTTTAGAACTAAGGCTCATAAAGGCACTGTTCTGAAACGGGATTGTCACTTTCCAAAATGTCATGATAACCCCAAAATTAGAAAGGGTGTTTTTGTCGCATTATAATATAATACTACACAGTGAGACATCATACATATTATGTGACGCATTGCATCTAAAAGCTTTTTTTCTTTAAGTGTTTTACGATGCTCGCAACTGCATAAGGTCATATGAGTGAGCGGGACACATTACACTTTTTCAGCTGGTAGGATTTTTGCACGGGTGGCGGCAGAAGCCTACTCTTATTGATTTTAGTTCACCGAAGGATCTTTAACGTGCTCAACTTGCACACTGGCCCTCAGAGATTTTTCGCCCTTGTCCGAGAAGGCTAGGTGTAGATCTTTCCTACCAGAAGATCAAGGGTATGGCTGAAAGACAGCAGTAAGAAGGAGCTAAGGAGTAGCAGTAGAAAGGCTGCAGAAAGAGTCAGGAGCCCAGAGAAGGAAGAAAGTAAAGACAAAGCAGACGACAGAATATTGCTATAGAGCGGGAAAGGAGGTGAAAGGAGGTAAAAAAGGAGACAATTTTAGAGTGAAGAATTTAATTTTTTCGATTGCTACCCGGATTCCAACCTGGGACCTTTAAATGAGAGGCCAACACCTTAACCTCTAGGCCACGAGAGCCCCCCCCTCATCATATAGCTATTCTAGAGCCAGTCTCAAAAGAGTTGATAACAACCAGTTTGTCTTTCATAAAGTAAAGGCCTAAACACAAAACAGTACATAATACAACTAAAATCTACCTGGGCCTGTGAGCTCCTGCACCATATCCGCAGTAAACTTGTCACTGAGAAGCTTCTCCTCCACACTGTACATGCGCTTGCCGTCAATGTCATCTTCGTCAATGTCCTGGTCGATATACTTCTTCCTCTCTTTCGCCCTCTGCAGGAAAAGTTCAGAACAAAAACCAAGCGTTTTAACTTTAAGAAGGCTTGAGTAACTCCATGATTCAGGAAAACGACTCAGCACTGCCAGCTTTTTATACTAACTAACCTGATGGGAGAAAATGCAAATATATGATCAATAATTTTGAATAAAATAAAACAACGAAAACTTGTTTTTGTAACACTTGACACTATATATATTCAAAATAGATGGACTTCGGTCTGCTGGGGTAATAATATAGTGTAAGGCGCATAGAGCCTGCTGCTGAGCGGGGATATGCGCTATACAAATATGTTATTTATTATTATTATGGATGAAGTACTTTTAAATTGGTTAATCAAAGGTATAAATCTGTTTAACTCGATTTTCAGAAACTACGATAGCACTTTTATTAAATCTTCCCACACAGGAACAAGAGTATCTTTCAGAAAACCGTCACATTTTAAAGAATGGTGGGCAATGTCACTGATAAATTGACTGGAAAGACAACCTGAAGGTCATTCTTTTTAAATCAATACCAATTTCCCCAAGGTGCTTTCAGCACTTTGCCCCCACGGGCGCCGATCGTGAACGCAAACACAAAGAAATGTAAACAAACCAGTGCATCCAAATCACCCCAGGCTACATTCTTCAACCTCTCTTCTACACCAGTCACCCCAGGCTAGTCTTCTCTGCTATACCAGTCACCCCAGGCTACAGTCTTTTCTGAGTCACCCCAGGCTACAGTCTTCTCTGTTATAATACTAGTCACCCCAGGCTACAGTCTTCTACTTCTCTGCTATACCAGTCACCCCAGGCTACAGTCTTCTACTTCTCTGCTATACCAGTCACCCTACAGTCTTCTCTGCTATAATACCGGTCACCCCAGGCTACAGTCTTCTACTTCTCTGCTATACCAGTCACCCCAGGCTACAGTCTTCTACTTCTCTGCTATACCAGTCATCCCAGGCTAGTCTTCTCTGCTATACATAATACTAGTCACCCCAGGCTACAGTCTTCTACTTCTCTGCTATACCAGTCACCCTAGGCTACAGTCTCCTGTGCTATACCAAGCTAGAGCAAGATCAAATCAGCATGAGCAGCACTTCCCGTGCTTTCCAACAACAATCCTCGATCTTAAAAATGCCTTACAAGTCAAGCAAAAAGTTTGGGGGCAGCTCTTACTCTGGCTAGTACTTTTACTTTGACACTGAAAGAGGCATAAAAAGAGGCGATGAAATACAACACAAAGTTCATCACCAAGTTTGCCTGGTAGGAGACAAATTGCCTGAAAACATCCAGCTTATAAGGGAGAATATTTTCGTGTTGGTTTCAGCATTCATTGATTTTAAAGAGCATGTATGTGCAAGATAAAACTTAACGAAGAAAAAACTTCATTGACGGGCCTCAAGGCAAAAGTTGACTGTGAAAGGAGCATCAAGTGCCTGAGTTGGAAGGACCGGGGAACTGCAGGATGCAGCACTTTGAAAATCTGGCAATCTTCTCAAAGAAACCACCTTGTAACTTTTTTGTTTTTAGCTCGACTAAGACAGGGAAATCCGGGGAGGCTTGATTCATCTTTTTTCTCATCGGTTGCCAAATTTGGGGACATTTGGTTGATATTTAGATGGTTTCGCACTTTCCGAAATGAGTCGGAAAATCACTGTGCCATTCGGCCGGTTTTGGTGTCGCTACCGACCAACCCTCTTCTTCAATAATATCTCGGCTGTAGCTGAAGATAGAAAAAAATTTTCTTCAGAGAATGCTCAATGAAATTTCTCCCGCGTGTATTGATGTATCATGATACATGGGGCTGATGCAAAGAACTACTATAAATAAGCATGTTCTCCGGGTTACCCCTGGCTCGGGTGAGTCAACCGCGTTTTCGCACTGCCGGGGAGGGGCGTATGGTACTGAGTAATGGGGGTGTTCCGAGGCGAGTTTATCTCACCTCTGAACTCACCTCTGGGTGTTTGTGTGTCAACGGAAAAAAAGTTTTTTTTATTGTAGTATGGCATGTCCGAATTGAATTATATTTCATGGTTGGCATAGTCTAAAGCCATCAAAGAAAGTTTTGCCAATATTTAGTCACGCTGCCAACATTCTAAAAGATCCCAAGTTGTGACACGATGCTAAATTATAAAATAAAAACAAAATAAAACTACAAAATGGTTAGAAATCTGATAGCAGAAATGATTTATCTACCTCGAAAAACACATTGAGGAGCCAAGTTTCTTTCAAACACTCCAATTAATTAGAGAGAAAATGTCGTCGATTTCCTACAGAGTCTATCTGCTGTTATGTGGTTCACTTTTTTAGGAGTATTTCCCGATCACCAATTCTGTATATATCTGCCCTACACTTCGTTTTCATTAATAAAATTAGACTAGATCTAGATTAGTAGACAAGCCTCATATCTCACACAATCTTATGTTATTAGATTATATTTTAATTTTTAGATTAGATCTAGAATCTAGATCTAGATTCTAGATCTAGATATCTAGATCTAGAAAATCTAGATCTAGAATCTAGATTTAGATTATATCTCTTTTTAACTCTCTATGTTAAACTTTTTCAGCAGTAGGAAAATGCATCATGAAAATAACAATTTATCTTAACAACTGTGAGTAATGAAAACTGAGAAAAGAACCTCAGTTCGTGTAGATAAACAGGATTTGGTTTGGAGTATAGAAATCTAGTATAGCGGTCAGTGTCTACGTGCAATTTCGCACGCTCTTTCGCTCTGCTAAAAGAAACAAAGATCAAAGAAGAAGACTACAGACTACAGCTCAGTAGACACCCTGCAGACCTTGTCCTCAGCCTCTTGCTTTCTGCTAGAACTTTAAAATGGACTAGAGATTCAATTACTAAACAATACTGCTGTGCATATCCCTTGGTTAATGCAATTTAAATATTCATACCAATTTCCTTCCACCCTCCGAGTCGTCTGCCATTGTTTCGGTGGACACTGACATCAACTATGCACTCGGTGAGGACCGCAACACAAACAATGAATTTTCTTTTCACCCATTTGTACACACAGAGCTCTAGTGCAGAAGCACGCATGCGCAAATCGATCAAATATGACTATTTGGGTCTCTTTTAGCCTAAGTTCTTTTTTACTTTTTGCAATCGAATAAATAGCATTTGATAAAAAGCAGGTATTTTCCAGGGGTTTTTGTTATTATCTTTTAAATAAAAGTGAATTTGTACTCAAAGAGGTATCAAGAGATTGTCCTTAAAAACTTAGAGATGACCTATTGAAAAGATTAGGAACCCGGAACCCTCAACAAACCTGGCCATATGCGGAAGCCATAGTCAGCGGAAGTCAGGTTGTGAAAATTTTGTTTTCATTAGTGACTTCCGCGACAATGACTCGAAGCCTGAAAGCCCTTTCATTTTCTTAGGTTTAACTTTCTCCTCCAATGCCAGCAAACCAGTCCAGTGCTGGATCTTATCAGGAGTGGTTGCTCAATTCCTACGTGGAACAAATGTCTCAAACCCATACAAACACAGCTTTGTCTTGGCGTAGACTTTATCTAAGCCGGGCAAAGCTGAAAGCCAGTAGTCGAACCTCTGCCTTGCTGTCAGGATTTGCCATGGTAGGCCTCTTTCTTTTGCCTAGTCAATGATAGCCTAGTGATTCGGGACACCAAAAACGATTTTTTATGCTGCTCTGCCCTCGTGTGCCATGTGCACCAACCCATTGTAATAAACTTGCATTCTTAGTGTGGTGTAGATGCACTGTTAGCAGACCACCACCTTTTCCAGGTGTCTGCTGGGTAAGCCTACTAGATCTAGATCTAGATCTAGAATCTAGAATCTAGATCTAGTACTAGGCTACTAGCCTAACCAGTAGCCTAACTAGGTCTAGTTAACTACACTACTGGTGTGGATAGATTAAGTATAGGCTTAGCCCTTTGACTTTGAGCCCTGACTTCCTGATGCTACCATCTCCCTCTGCCTGAGCTCCTGAGCGATATTACTAACATTCATGTAATCACCTAATCTCATTATATCCCACTCATACTCATGACTCATGGTAGTCCTCGTTATCGACGTTATTACCGGGAGGACTGCCGTAACGAGCAACCACTATGAGACAGAGCAGAATTGAGGGCTTGGGGTAGGGTTAGGGTTAGGTCTAGGCCTCTTCTTTATTGTGTTTGATGGGGTGGTCGCTCTTTACGGAAGGCCTTCCTTATTGCCAGCTAAGAACTAGATTTCTAATAAACAGTTAACGTCCTGTGTAGTATACCTCATTAAACATGGTTTGCCGCATACGTTTTGTCCCTGGCGGGCCGGTTTGGGGATAGGGTCTAGCTCACCGCTGTACTGGTGACTGGCCATACGGGTAGTTAAATTTTACACTCCACCAGAGGGCTCAAAGAGTTAAAGCTTCAACTAAGGATTACTACCTAGACCTAGCGGCAGTGGAGAACCTCTGGGTCCGTTTTGGCATGCATTATATTGCAATGACCCACCAGTTCTTACTGTCGCTAGGTGCCTTTAGTACACTCTCTGTCATAGGCCTGCTTAGACATGTAAGTTTATATTTGCTTTTTGGCCCATGTTGTGTTCTTTGTCTACCCTTAGACCCCTGTTGCAATCTACATCTTGCCTTCCTTCTTCATGTTTAACAGTTGCCTAAAAATAACATTTGTCTTATTAAACTGCATTTATCATCTTTTTAAGTTAACCTTTAAGATTTCATATATATGTATATTTTTGTCTGTTTTTCAGGTGGCGATGGTTGAAATTTCTATTGATAAAGACGACGAGGACAAATCAGTAATCCCTGAACCTCTTCTCATCTTGTTTGGAGTGACCACCACTCTCCTAGTCACGGTCCACCTGGTAGCGTTGATGATCAGTACGTGCATCCTGCCCAACATAGAAGCGGTCAGTAATGTGCACAGCGTACAAGCCGTCAGCGAGTCTCCTCACGACCAGATGCGGGTCTGCGTCGAGATAGCCTGGGTCTTCTCCACTGGACTAGGCATCTTGCTGTTTCTCGCCGAGATTGCCATCTTGTGTTGGGTCAAGTTTTACAGGCTGAGCACAAACGCTGCCATAGCATCCACTGTCATCGTCATTCCTGCTGGAATTTTGTTCATTGTGTTTTCTTTGATGTTCTACAAGAAGCTTATGGCTCATAAGTACCAAAGACACTCGGAGGGATTAAAGGAACTGGATGAGATGGCGCGAGAGTTGAACAGCACAGGGGATGGAAACAATATTGTGTGATGAGGAAGAGCTGGTTCAGTGGTGTGGTGACTTTGTGTGAGGAAGTCTGCTCAGTCAGGCTTCTTCTATTTCTGACATAAATTTTATATATATATACTCTCACCAAATTATCTCTATAAAACTGCACATATGTTTGAGAATTTTGTCGAGAGGAAATGATACTGAGTGTCTTTCTTACACGGAAGTTACTTTTATTGAAGTATCAAACGATAATTGATTCAGTTTGTGTTCATACTTTGAGAAGATATTGGCAATCATTAATCGTTGCTTAATTTAGCATATTTTTTTTTCTTATTGAAGCATGAAGAAACAATTGCTGAGCTCAAGCTTTTCTTTTTCCAGTAGGTTTCTTATTCAGCGCCCTCATTACCTGTGCAATTGTAATGGCAATATTCATCTCAAACTCTCTGGCAATGGAAGTTTTTCTCTGTGCATCATCTGCCCTGCTAGTGTGTGACTGGGAGATGGTAAGAAAGAACAACTGGTACTCTCTTTTAGCTTTCAGATGAAAAAGGTTCCTCTTGTGCATAACGTGCCTTGTGCCTTTTAGAATATATATACCAAGTAATAATAATTTTCGGTGATAAGCAAAATAGACCAGCTCAGATTTCCAAAGGGCGTATGACATAGTGTAGATGGTGTAAATTTCTCTGTCTTCTACCATTGATAGTTATAAATTTAGTTATGGCAAAAATAGTTTTTCACATAGTGTAGATCAGGATTGATTGCATTAATTTAGGGCATACCCTGCTCAAAAACTGGCTTTATGCTTTCTATGATCGATACAGTTTAGAAGTAGGGTGCAATCTGTGTATCAAGTGCTATCTGTGTATCAATTTTGTCAAAAGATAGAGAGAGAAGCCTGACACTCCCAGGGCTTGCCATTAGCTTGAGTCGTTCCATTGACTCTGCAGCGAACTTATATATATATATAATATATATGTGGTGACTACCTGATCTGATGCTACAAAATGATATCAAGTGTAATCCTGCCTTGTATGAGATTTGAAAGGAATTTGTCAATTTTTTATTGTTAATTTTGATTCGACATCGTACCTCTCTGTACTGCAGTAAGCTGATAAAACACCTTTTTGTTTTTCATTTTGGTGCAAAAATTGTTTATATATTTGCTAAATCGAAAGCCTGGTCAGTTACCCTTCTTTTGTGGAAAAAATCAAAGTGAAACTGCTACCAATTTTAGAGTAAATTAGAATTCAATTTTCTAAATCACGCTTTTTTTTAAATGGTTACGCGGACAAAAAAAAAACCCATCTTTTTCTCGAAGCTGCCACGAGGAAAAAAAGCCGTTTTGTCTGCTTACGGCAGTGTAGTGTGTTACCAACAAAAGAAAAAATACTCAAAGAGAAATTTAAGCTTTCACATCCCATCAAATAATACTTTGAGACTGAATCAGGCTGGTTGCTGTGGGTTTCCTTTTTTTTTCTTTTTATTATTTAATTTTTTTTTCTTATTTTGTGGGGTTGGGGGGGGGGGGGGTGCACCTCTACAAAAGATTTATTTTGCTTTTCCAGGGAAACTTACTCTACGAATGCCATCAATAAGTGATTTAGTTAAAAGTGCCATTTCATTTGGTGCACACTTTTCTTTTCTTTTCATGCCTTTGTGGAAGCTGAATTTTATTTCGTTACAAAAATGTACTCTCTGTATTACCTGGCTTTGCATGTTGTGTTCTGAGGATATGGTTAACTTATTTTTATCTTTGATTGACAAAATAGCTTGAAGAGTGTCTTGACAGATGTCTCTACTGAGAATGATGAATACAGACATTTCCATATGAGGCAGCGTGGTGAAATCAGGCTCTCACCAAAATAATGAAATTGAACAAAGAGGCGATTTTCTGTCGGTTTGGCAATTTTTATCAAATTTTGGGGGGTTTTCGGCTTAACATCTTTTATGTTTATTTGAAAACACATTTCTATGTGGATTTTACTGAAGAACGTTAAGTGCCCAAAAAATATAAATTTTTGGTTTCCAAGGGCTTTCCAGCTATGGAATTCATTAAACTTTGTTAGCCATTTTCTCTCTATTTTTACCTGTGAAACTAGATGACCCCCAGCTCCTTCAATCAAAGATATCTCGACTTCTATTAAAGATAGATTGTTCATTTTTTTCACTGAGAGCAAGAAAAATGAACAAGCTTTAAGATGATACCACAGTAACTCCATATGCCCAAAAATTGACAAGCGCCTGATTCCACCGCTTCATGACTCATATATTTTTTCTGTAAGCAAGATTTGGTTAAATTACAAAACTGTACTAGATCTAGATGTATATATGTATGCTACATGGCTTTGTGTGATGTTTTGTTAGGGTACGGGTAACTTATTTTTTTATTTTAAAATTGGTGTCTTCATGGCCTGTGCTGAGTGTATGTTTGAATGCACACATATATTCTGAATTCATCAGTATTCATCATGTTATGGTATATATGTTAAAGAAAAAAGAGAAATATAAGAATGACAAAAGAACCCTTTTAATTTACAAAACTGCAGAAATCTGTGTATGCATTCAAATGTACAAAGCACGCAATGTTATAAAACATAGTACAAAATTATAATCAGAAAATGCTAATGATTTAATGTTGCTGCTAGCTGCAGGTGGTGATTTTGTTCTGGCCTGGGGTTATTAAAATAATTATTGTTTCTCAAGGATGCAATCTAGTGACCATTCATCTAAAAATTGTTGGCATTATTTTACATTCTTTATGTATTTGCAGTTACAGACCCCTCTACTTCTGGGGCATATAGTGACAATGCATTAATTATATTATATATATATATAGATATAGATATATATTTATATATATATATAGATATATGTTTTTGTGTGTATGTGTGTGTGTGTGTCTGTCCCCGGGGTTTTATATATATATGCACCCCGCATAATTTAGCAAAATTTGATCATTTTTGGCATAATTTCTGATTATTTTTCTTTTTAATTTTTAGTTAAAATTAACAGAATCGCATTTATAATTTTATATTTTTTGGGCTCAAGTTTCCATGATTTCATACATTTTTGTGCATAAAACTGCGGGGACAAGTGTGTGTGTGCGTGTGTGTGTATGTGTTTGTTGTGTATATGTCTCTATATATTGTTGCTGTCACTAGAGAAAAGAGTATCTCTACTATTTTTGCTCACCCAGCAAAGCGAAGGAAATCGTCATCATTGTCTTTCTCACCCTGAACCAGGGTTTAAGATAAGATAATACTTTATTATCCCAGAGGGAAATTTTTGTTGGCTGTACAGGACCGTAAATACACATGCAGGTATACACATAAAAGTGTAAATTATATATTACTCTCATTAAATTTCAATATGAAAAGAGACGAAAAGCTTTTTAAGCCACCAACTAACTATTTCCATTTTTCCCGTAGATGCCAGGTTAGTTTCTCGATGTAATTCCAGGTCTTCCTCTGTCTTGTATATCACTCTCTGTCACTGGGTGGTTGGCGGGTGCTCTGGTGTGGTTTGCTTCTTCTTTCCTATCAAACATCTATCATCCTTATCTCCCCTTCTTCTTTTTTATGTTTTTTACTCTCTTGTAACACCTCTAATCTTTTGGCGCTCATATGACCTTATGCAGTTACTAGTTGCGAGCGCCGTAGAACTTCTACTACTAAAACTAAAACTCTCTGTCACTCCTCTCCAGTCTCCGCATGGCATTCCCCTTGATCTCGTACCCTGTGGATTTCAGTCCAACATGTTTTTTGGTTATGCAGTGCCTGGTTTCTTTAGGAAATGTCCCGTCCATTGCCACCACCTTCCGGTTGCGACTGCCATCTCTGACTGTACTCTGCTTCGTTCTCCTTAACACTTCCTCGTTTGGGACCCTGTTTGTCCATCTAATTCTGAGTAACTTTACTCCAACGCTGTGGGTGGTTGGCAGGTGCTCTGGTGAGGTTTGCTTCTTCTTTCCTATCAAACATCTATCATCTTTATCTCCCCTCTTTTCTTGTGTTTGTTGCTCTCTTGTAACACCTCCAATCTTCCGCACTCATTTGACCCTAATATTTATTGTGTTGCAAGTGAGTGCCGTAAAACTTACTAAAACTTAACTACTCCGACACTTGTTAAACATAACCTGGACTCGTTTTAATGCAAGTCTGAAATGCGTTCCATGCTTCAAATCGGTACAGCAAAACTGACTTCACATTTACGTTGATGACCCACACAGTGAAGCAAATAGAGGCGCCGGTACTCTTGTATTTTCCTGTGACAGCAACAATAATTCTGTGTGACCCAGAAATACTTACTTGCCAAAGAAAACCCGTTCTTGGCATGAGACTGTTATAATGTCCATGCCATCGTTATTATGACATGTAGACAAACTATTTCAGTTTCTTAATCTTATCTATATTATCATTCACATTTGGAGACCACAAAGAAATTATGAATGTATAATTTATCTGTGTTGCAACATGGCAGAATGAGTGACATATTGCACTGTTACTATTTATAGAGTTGTGCTGATAAAATGAGTTACTTTTTGCAATCCACAAATGGATATATTGGCCAAAAATCGACATAAAGGTCAAATTGGTAGATTTTCTATTGATGCCATATTCTTGAACTATAACCTGTCTTTTATCATGTCACACTCACACTTATGGATTTTGAAACTTCACCTAAAAGCGTGATGTATCTATTTCCTTATGGCTTGAATCCGAGAAGTGACTCATTTTGTCAGCACGCTTGACATATAACTCTATGAGCATCAAATTAAAGATCTGATGGAGCCCCACAAGTGGGCAGAACACAGTAGCAGTCTTTCTGCCATAGATCTCATCTTAAGTCAGTTATTGTCATTGGAAGTTGAGGAGTCAGAAAAACTCAGTAATGAGAAAACCAAGATTTGACCCCCTATTTGTGAGGCAGCGTGGTGGAATCATGCTCTCGTCAAAATAATGAAATTGAAGGAAACAGCAGTTTTCTCCCTTAGCAATTTTTGTCAAGTTTGTATTTTTTGGCGCAACACCTTTTATGTCCATTTACAAATACATTCCTTTGAGCATGTCACCAAAAACATTGATTAAAGGCACAAAAATATAAATTTACAGTTTCCATGGACTCCCAGCTTTGGAATTTACCAACCTTTGGCGGCCATTTTCTCGCTAATTTTACCTCTTAAATCAGGTGACCCCCACCTCCTTCAATCCCAAAAATCTCCACTTCTATTGAAGATGGATTTGTCATTTTTTCATTGAAAGCAAGACAAATGAAAAAGCTTTTAAGATGATACCAATAACTCAATATGCCCAAAAATTGACGAGAGCCTGATTCACCACGCTGCCTCACATTTGTAAACAGCTGAGTGGAGCAAGTAACCCTCTTTGTCATGTCACTATTCTCATCTTTTTTTGTCAACTAATTTGTAGATCATGATTTTCATTTTGTCAGACTTGGATCTTGATGTGTGAATTTAGATCCTAGGAAAAAAAATCAAGTGACCAATTTTTTCCCTTAATCATTATCTTATCATTATGTTTTTCTGTGATTCAAGATTGACCTGACTTAGATTCTTGAGGAAGTTGAGGACCAGACAAGAAAGAATGTATGTGTTACGAAACACTTACACTGTATTACCTGTCCTGGGCAACGTCATTGCACACCGGACAGGTCCATAAGGGCTCAGTTCCCCCCAGCACTAAAGCCCGCAAGGTATCCATACTGATGGTTCCAGTGGCTGTCTGATTATGGTGACGTCTTTCCTTTCCAGATAATCGTTCCTTTCTTCCTTCTCCCCTCTCTATCCCCATTTCCCGCATCCTAATGATTGCGTGGTGTTTTGCTATCCCCCTGTCTTTCTCATCCCGCTACGTTTCCCCCTAGGTCTTCAACACTTCTCCTTTGTCAAATTTCACCTCACAATCAACCACAGCACTGCCTGCCAGCCTATCAGCCTCCTCATTGCCTTTCACTCCAGAGTGCCCAGGACAGAATATCCACTTGAATTACGAAAACGAAAGATGCTATAATTGAATTTTTTTTTTTTTAGATTTGTTGCGGTTTGCGACACACCTTTATGTGGACAGTCAAATTATTGTATGATGCTCAACTTGTTGGACGATTCTGCATTTTGACATTCGTTTATGAAGTAACTGGTTTTAACCCTATCAGTACGTCGTGTTTTACTATCGTATCCATACGGCTTGGGGAACTCTGTGCCACCACTTTCCAAATAGGAAATTTACTCGTTAATCTTATCTATCTGTACGCTTTACATAGCAGTCTGTCAAAATGATTTTTTGAGAAATTATGATAAAAGTTTCAAAGAGATCTTCATACTAGAAGTATCCTAAAATGTGAAGAATACAACCCGGGGGTACAAAATGATCCCAGGGCGTACGAATAGGGTTAAAGATTGTATGTTCACATAATATGTTATCATTGTTTATTTCCGTCTCAAATATGTATTTTATTATGCTTTATAAAAGTATGCTGAGGAGATCTGTTTTTGGCACAAATATATATATATGGAACTGTGCCACTGTTACTAAGCTTTCCTCCTAGTCTTTGGCTCGTCCCAATCTTCGTGTCACTCTATAAATAAATCACTTTGTGTGAGCCTGATTTTGCTCCCCTGGCACTGTTGTTTTACCAACATTGGTGACGTAGAGGTTTAACTCTTTGTAATTGTATGCAGAAGTAAATTGTATGCACAGGTAAATTTCTGAGTTGGGAAGCCCGCCCCTCAACCC